GTGAAGTATGAAAGCCCTAGCACCAACCGTTCAAAAGTTACGGCCAAGGTTAAAGTTTTCGAAAGTAGGTCAAACTCCTGGGTCAAGGTCAAAGTTGTTGGTATCCGAAGGAAGGTCATTGTCACAAGGATTACAAATGTGAAGTATGAGAGCCCTAGAACCAGCTGTTCAAAAGTTATGGCCAAGGTTAACATTTGGTAAAATTTGCAAAACTGGGTCAAACTCCAGGGTCAAGGTCAAAAGTCAAAGGTGATGGTACCCAAAGAAAGGTCTTGTCACAAGAAATACACATGTGAAATATGAAAGCCAAAGCTCCAATCAATCAAAAGTTATGGGCAATGTTTAGGTTTTTGCAAACAGACAGACTAGGCAAAAACTATATACCCCGGAATCTTCGATACGGGGGTATAACAATTTTGACCCTTTGATCTTGACCTTGGAATTTGACCTACTTTTGAAAAACTCTTATCTTGACCATAATTTTTGAATAGTTGGTGCTAGAACTTTCTTCACAGGTATATTCCTTGTTACAGGACCATCTCTTGGGTACCAACAATTTTGACCTTTTTACCTGGACTTTGGAGTTTGACCTACTTTTGAAAAACTCTAACGTTGGCCATAACTTTTGAATAGTTGGTGCTAAGGCTTTCATTTTTCACAGCTGTTTATCTTGAGACTAGACCTTTCTTTGGGTACCAACAATTCGATCTCTTGACCTTGACCTTGGAGTTCGACTTGCATTTGAGAAACTTTAACCTTCACCATAAACTGACATATACGGGCATCAGTCTTTCACAAATACATCTTGTATCATATTGACATCACTGTAATTGTTGTAAATGATACCATACACATACCGGTATTCAGATTTCTAGAGAGAGCTCACCGATAGTCCCGCATCTTTTTAATCTTAAAGTAACAAAGGAATGTTTAATGCTCAACATGTAAACAGAAGGAAGTTATTTTGACTGAATTTATTTATCAATCAAATATAATTTATGAAGGCACCCAGTCACAATTTAAGAAATTCATACCTCACTGTTTTCATCAAACATGCATGATCGTGAGCTGCAGATGCCAAAAGCTGATAAAGGAGTTTGTATTAACTGTGTACAATTACTTTGTTCACGACAGACTGAATTTCCAACCAAAATAGCCTTTTAAATGGAAGTCAGACATTTATGATGTAGAGATCTACCCTTAACTCAAAAAATACTGGACATTGGCAAGTTTAATTTCACAAGTTCTGCAGTAAAATCCCAAACATTTCCTGCCAAGTGCTGTCTCAGAAGACCACTTTCTCTACAGTATATATGTAAGTTTGGCATTTCATCTACTGACTGACTGGTAACATATGAAGACAGCTGGATGTCATCTCTCAAAGTCATCATCACAATGGTTGTTTTTCAAACACATGCAGAAATCCCCCTCAAAGATAAATGGATGTCTATTAAACCATTCTTTTCTTAGCTCTGTATAACTCATTACATATGTACACACTGTACTGTGCTTAGCAGGCCTATTGCTCTGCATTTACATGTAAATTATTCTAAGATAGGCGAAATGCACAAACATTTTCAGAACCTGTGGATGTTTGTATTGCCATCTATCACTCGGATGTTTCAATATAAACAAGAGGCCCATGGGCCTTATAGGTCACCTGAGTAACATGTATCAACTTTGCCCTGAGCCCTGCCCTAACACCAGAACCTTGAGCTAGGGCACATAAAATTCACAATTTTGGAAGAGGCACCCTTACTCATCATAACTATACTCTTAGTTCATCGGCTTAATACCCAGGAGAAAAGGAGAAGATTTTCAAGGAATTATTGCATTTTTTACTATGTATTCATTAGAGCCCAGCCCTAACACCAGAACCCCTGACCCAGGGACCATGAAATTCACAATTTTGGAAGAGGCACCCTTACTCATCATAACTATGTATTCAGTTTGTTTGCTAAATACCCCGGATCAAAGAAGAAGATTTTAACACCAGAACGCCCGACTTTGGGGCCATGAATTTTACAATTTAGGAAGAGGCACTCTTACTCATCATTACTATATTCTTAGTTCATCGCCTTAATACCCAGGAAAAAGGAGAAGAATGTCAAAGAATTATTTCAATTTTACTATATGTAATCATTAGAGCCCCGCCCTAACACCATAACTCCTGACCCATGGGCCACGAAATTCACAATATAAGAAAAGGCACCGTTACTCATAATAACAATGCATTCAGTTTGTTTGCGCTGGATTAGAGAAGATTTTTGAAGAAATAATTTATTTTCAGTATATATTCAACAGAGCCCCGCCCAAACATCAGAACTCCTGACCCTGGGGCCATGAAATTCACAATTTTAGAAGAGGCACCTTTCCTCATCATAACTATGCATATTTTTTTGTTTGCTTAATACCCAGGAGCAGAGGAGAAGATTTTTAAAGAATTAATGCATTTTCACTAAATAATCATTAGAGCACCACCCTAACACCAGAACCCCTGACCCTGGGGTCATGAAAATCACAATTTTGGAAGAGGCATCTTTCCTCATCATAACTATGTACTTAGTCTATCAAATATCCAGGAGCAGAGAAGAAGACTTTCAAAGAATAAATGCATTTTTACTATATAATCATTAGAGCCCCACCCTAACACCAGAACCCCTGACCCAGGGGCCATGAAATTCACAATTTTAGAAGAGGCACCTTTCCTCATCATAACTATGTACTAAGTTCATTGGCTTAATACCCAGGAGCAGAGGAGAAGATTTTTAAAGAAATAATGCATTTTCACTATATATTCAACAGAGCCCCGCCCTAACACCAGAACCCCTAACTCTGGAGCCAAAAATTTCACAATTTTGGTAGAGGGCTCAATGCTTATTACAATCATGTCAACAGTTTGACAGCTTGATGTCCAGGAGTAAAGAAGAAGCTTTTTAAAGATTGCATTAATTTTGATGGTTTTAGCCCCACCCCTCAGGCCCCAGGGGGATAGGGGTAATGAATTTCACAATTTTTACTCCCCTTCACCCATAGATGCTATATGCAAAATTTGGTTGAAATTGGTTCTGTGGTTCCAGAGAAAAAGCTGAAAATGTTCAAATGTTAACGCACGACGGATGGCGCACACCGATGGACGAAAACAGATAGCAATAGGTCACCTGAGTAAACTCAGGTGTAGGGTTGGATACCCTTAAGGATGAAACGGTACGATACCATACCGGTATTTTTGAAATGATACGGTATTTTTAACGATACGGTTCTATACCTTGATGACTGAGAATAAGGGTTCATTTCTTAACAAATAATTATGCTTTTACTAATCATCAACCTTTCAATGTTAGAACCTAAAATGCCCTTATAAACTACAGGTAACTCTCGATACCTCGAAGTCTGCGGGACCGAGGAAAAACTTCGACAGATCAAGAGTTCGAGTTTTCAAGAGTCCGGAATTTTCCGGGATTGTTAAAATTAGTCTTACCGGATGTAATAATTTTCATGCAGTGCTAACCTTTTACACGTGGTTTTTATAAAACAACGATATTTTTTCGTAATTCAGATGAATATTTCATTAAACTGAGTAAAGCAAAAAATGTATATTGTCATTTCATGTATATTTATTTATTCTTCGTAATGCGGACATACTATGCATTCGTTACATGAAAACGACATTTTACAGCGTCGTACATAGCTTTGACTATTCCAAAAATGATCATTGCAGGCAGTTCTGTAAGTATTTGTCCAATAATAGTTGTCATATCGACATTGAGGCTGTTTCTGCTTTTTTCATATTTCGTTTAACTTTGACACTGACTCGAAATAAAAATCAAATTAGTGTTTTGTCTTTTAATCAATTACTACTTTTCAATGACTTTGCATCTCTAAATTATCGTAAGACAGTCGATGATAATTATTTTAATAGCATATAGGCAAAATAGGATTAATTATAAATCATTTATCACCTTGCAGCATAAGTGTTACCTGAATAAACATCCCGTTGCTCGAGACCCGCGTCTGGGGCCATTTAAATGTCCATGTAAAGGTGCTAATTATATAATCTTGTATACACATAGCCACTTCGAGGTATCGAGGGCAAATTCTAATAGAATATGCATAGCAGTACTGCATTTTGACTTCGAGGGATCAAGGGTTTCGAGAGATCAAGAGTTCAAGAAATCATGAGTAAATTTGCTTAGTTATATAGTGGAAAAATTCGGGACTGGAGACTCACTTCGAGCGATCAAGAACTTTGAGAGATCGAAGTTCGAGCCATCAAGAGTTACCTGTATGTTTATATTTCAACCTTTTAATAAATGACCAATAAAACAAATAAATTGAATCTCAAACAAATTAACTTGAATAGATACATAATCACAAGTATACACAGCTTCCGTGGTTGCTAGGACCCATTTTGTTTGGTCGCACTAAACAACGAAACATTAGAAGATGGATAGAAATGCACATCACATTTTTGCGACATTTTGACTTTTTAATTTACATTTATTATCAGTTTTTATTAATTAAGTTAAAACATGATTAATTTTAATGTATTTAAATTTTTTAAATAAAAGAGATATACGTACCGATTTACCTCGAATATCGGCAGTCGAAAGCAAGTGTCGTATAGTCATACTAAGCATCTGTTTCGTTAATTAGCCTACCCTTTCAATGTGCGGAGAATTCTATTTTAGCGAGTTTTAAACCATTTTGAATGTATTAAAATGTTTCTAAGATCAAGAAATAGTACCGGTATTAGTACCGGTATTAAATGAAACGGTATTTTACCGGTATTTTTGAAGTAACTATTCGGTACGGTATTGGTACCGAGTACCGGTATCCAACCCTACTCAGGTGACCTAAAAAGAGAATCTTTATGATTTTTTCTTAAATATTGATTTTGCAAACTCAAGACTAAGTAAGTGAATGGAGACACACGTTGATGCCACATCGACAGATATGCTTAAACTTTAAGGAAGTACCTATCAGTAAATATGCCAAAGTTTAAAAAACCTTCTTTATTTTCCAATAAATAATTAAATATTTAATAATTAAAAACAAAAATTTAATGACATAACAGAACAGTTCATGTCACATCCAGTTTGTTTTTGTCTGGTATCGATGAGGAGGAAGGTGACACTTCCATTGACGTAGGCGTGTTGACTGTATTTAATGGAGTATTTGATACCTATAAATATAAATCATACTGAACTTTCAACACAACAAAGTGTATGCAGAAATAAAAATAAAATTCATATAAAAGCTAGCAAAATGAAATTATCACACGATAGATGATTCAAAATGTCTGCAATGCTAAAAACAATATAATTATATATCGTTAATTGGATTAAAATAAATTAGATGAAATCATATAATGTGCATAAATCAAGTCACAATTACAACTTTTATTAAAAGTTTATCAGTCTTCTTGATGTTATTATTTAATTTTTTGCATATAATTTAATGCCTTTTTTGAAGACAAACATCTTATTTTCTACATTTAATGGAAGAAAATCAAACTAGAACTGTCCAAAAGGGACAAATACCCCCCGCTGGGTTTTTCAGAGAAGGTACCAAAATTTAATCACTAATGTTTTCTAGATGTGAGAGGTGTTCACAATTTGCTAAAACATTTAGAGTGAAAATTTAATTACTCATTATATTTTTTTTTAATGAATGAAACTAAGGTGCAGCCTTATAAAACATCAATACTAGTATTTACAGTGTTTTTTATAACATTGAAAAAATAGTTTGCAATTATCTGTCATCTTTGTGAGACATGACACTCTGCAAATTGATTGTTTAAAAAAAAAAAATATCATAATTAATTATACAAAATCAAATTGATCTTAATACCTTTATATCAAACTCATTTTAAAAATAAAATGCTGGTTCCAGTAACTAAGTTTTTTAACAGACATAAATTACAATTAAGAGACTTAGACAACAGAGATCTTTATTTCTTTCTGCCCAATTCCCAGGAGATATAGATAAGATCTGCTTGATCAGAGATGCCCTAGCAGCTTCCCACACTGAACTCATTAATTTATCTTTAACTGGATGCATGTCCACTCATTACTCCCAAGGGACAATGGATGTACACTATCTGCTGTGTAATGTAAAAACTGTTTTTAATACTTTATGATTTTTTTTAGTTCTAATGAGTAAGCTGTAGTTCACATTTTTGTACAGATGTTCTAGATTCTATGTCTCAAACCTTAGACATGAACCTGAAATGACTAAGTCAATAAAAATGAAAAAAAAAACTGTAAAATGCAGAAAAATTATCAAATAATGTTGAAAATACCAGGTGCACATCTTCATATGGTAAATAATAAGTGTACAAATTTTCATACAAATCTATGCAATAGTCTCTGGGAACAGATCTGGACAAAACCACATAATAAAAATGAAAAAAAAACACCTGTAAATTGCAAAACAATTATCCAATCATGATGAAAATATCAGGTGCACACCTTCATATGGCAGAGAATAAGTGTACAAATTTTCAGACAAATCCTTGCAACAGTTTCCAAGAAATGGTCTGGACAAAATCTCGTCTACAGACAGACGGACAGCTAGACAGACGGACAGACAGACGGACAAGCTGATTCCAATATACCCCCCCCCTAAACTTCGTTTGCGGGGGGTATAATTATAAGTAAAAAATTGAAAGTTATCCAAGTTACTGTAAAGTGTAATCCAACTATTATTCACAACAACTTTTGTGATTTTCTGTTTAAAATCTATACACTGTTACTAATCTTTCTTGAATGCAAATAAAAGATGGTTTATGTATACTCATACAACCTAGGCTGGAACATTTTATGCTTTTTTTTAGAAACTGCTTCATGCTTTATAAAGTGTAAGCTGCCCTAAACCAGGTTATATTCACATAACTTAGCAAGTTTTTAAATTTATTCCTTTCAAAAATTTCCACTATTGCACTTTCTTGAGATATTTTTCACATTGCTTTTGAGAGAATATTCTCTAGAGAATACTTACTGATGAGGTTTGTGTGGGATTACTACTGATGAACGATGATGTCATAGCTGGGAGGGAGGAGACAGAACTTGTCATGGGAACTGTAAATAAAACATACATATATGCTCAAAACTGAATTGATTCCAAGACATACAGTTAAACATATCTTCTACAAATTTTCTGAATTTATGCCAAATAAAAGACTTAACTCAAAATTCTAAAACTAGGAAGATGACCATCTTCTTAGTTTATAACATAAATATCCTTGACCTTTGATCTTGATCTTTGCGGAGTGACTATTATCTATTTTCTTTGAGCACAATAGGCTGAAAGACTGGAGCCTTTTTAAGCATTTCTACCTCTGAAGGTAAATTCAAACTTGTGCAGGTGAATTCTTACCTAGGCAGGTGAATTCTTACCTGTGGTGGAGCCTCCAGCCAGGACTGGATTGTCAGCTGTTAAACAGGTCACATCCTACAGAACAAAAAGACAATGCTTTATTCTTAAAACTTTTCCTTGTCAAAACTTCTTGCTTTCTGACAAAACTTTGATCTTAAAATTTCAAGATTTGGATAACAATATATCCATAATAAATATTTGACAAAGTCTTAGGAAAAACTTCTCTTTTTTTTGCGAATTAAAGCTTTTTTTCCCAACACATGTATTTCATAGAATTGCTCTAGATTCAGATGACTTCCTACAAGTACCTGCACTAGTGATGTTTCTGTATTCTTTTCTAAGGATTTGTCTGCACTGAGGAATGATTCGGCATGTAGAGGGGAGGAGAATGGAACACCTAGCCGTGCGTTAACAGCCAGCAGGTGGTCGCGACGCGTAGACAGGGACTGTATGTGACCCTCCAGCTGTTGGTTCTCTGATTTTAACTGGTGTAGACAGTGTAGAAGGGAGGCAACTGCAATTAAAAATTTTAATTTTTTGGAAAATGTACAAACAGGAGAAATACAATCGGGCAAATTATAGAACAGAAAATTCCCCTACATCAAGTGTTAAAAAAAAGCATACTGATTAATTCAAGGAACTTGAGATCATGTATACTATTACTATCTGGATGCAGGAGACAGGTAAATCTTAAATGGGACAAATTTTACGTTTAATTCTTCACTTACTATCAAAATGCTCTCCCTGTTTCATCAGAAACTGAGATCCTTGTTCCCACTGCCTCTCTAACAACTGCTCTAGTGATGTCGGAAACTCACTTTAATAATTCAATCAAATTTTAAATTTGAAAAAATAGCTTTAATGAAAGAGTGTTTATGTATATTTCCTTCTACCTCATCATACAAATACAAGTTCTAAACTTTAAGATTTAAAATACTTTATCCACAATTAAATTTTCAAATCTTAATACTTCTTAAATTAATCATCATGGCTTTTGAAGAAAAAATAGTTGATTTCAATTGTTCAACATTTTCATCTAGTGCAACAAAAGCAATGAAAATGTGGAAAAAAATACCCCACATAAGGCTTTTTCTGATAATAACGATAGCAAGACTTTAGGCAAATACATGTACAGTGTACATGTATTAGTGTTTACAGAAATGACCAAATGTCATATTTCACATTTATGCAGTAGTCTTTATAGCAATGTGCTTATTAAAATTAAAACGTCTTTGATACATACAGAGGTTAATATAGGATCTGGGTTTTTTTTCTTTTCATAAATGTTTATGAACTATCTACAGCAAAGCAGTGTATTTATTTAATCAATATAAATCTATAACAGACTATGCGAAAGTCTAAAATTTTTACAGGACATAATGTCTGGTAAAAATATATATTTTACCAGACCAAGCATTTACTTACCAGACCGACCTTTTTTCTTTAAATTCAATCATACATCATTATATGATACAGAGATTGAAAAAAAGGAGGGGGAAGGATTCTCACTGTTAAATTGAACCTCAAATAGTCATCCAGATTTGAAATTATAAAAAATTGTTTTATTGAAATGAACAAGCTTACTATTAATAATTTTCCTTTTTAAAAGGTAATATCACGGACCTATATACTAGGTATATAGGTCCCTGGTAATATACAATTCCCTACAATATTCTCTTTTTCTGGTTATTTGACACATACAAACGAAATAAACATTGTGAAAGATTTTTTTAAACTTGAAATGCACTCTAAAATAGATTTATTTCTTTCCTGAAGTAACTCATTACGGTTACTCTTGTTTAATAATGAAAATAATTTCGCCCAACTGAATCTACGTATGAGCTATCTATGGATCTATATTCCAGAACAGAGGAAATTCGAGTTAGAAATATACGATCATGACAGGGTTCTTATAGATTAAAATTAAACATGTATTACTGCTAATTGTATCAAATAAAGGATATGTGTGGACAATAAGACCATATATACATGTAAATTAAGATTTTTAGGCCTTAATTTTTCATCGGACAATCGGTCCTGTATCCTGGATTTTTATACCGACCCGAACCAAATTTTACCGGTAAAAACTGACAGTCCGGTGACTTTCGCATAGACTGCTATAATGAATTATTTCATTATTTTGTGGACTTTTATACCCATTTGGTGGCTCCTTTTGTGGTGACTGCTGACTAGGAAATATCTTTGGTGGTCCACATGCACCATCTGAGAGATCATTATATGACCCGAGGTTTGAGCTTGAGGCATTCTGAGTAAAAGAAAAGCTGAGTGGTCCCGGGGCACTGAGACTCTGGAAATGTGGGCTGCCTCCAAACACAGAGAAGTTATTCAGACTGCAACACAACAAAATTCATTAAGGACTGTTAATTTAATAATCATAAATTCTATTTCCTAAATAATTCTTTCTGCATCTAAAGTGTCATGTTTTTTAAATCTTCCCTATTATTGTTGAAGTAGATTCACTATTGATTGACAAACTATATCTACATGTGAGATGACAGGGAGGTATATATTTTAACTAAGAAGTCAACTAGGAATCAATAACATACTATAGTATGATAACAATTGGTTGAAACTTAACAGTATGCAAACTATCCAGATTAAAATATATATTGTGCTTTCTTTCCCTTCTCAGTTCTAAATCTCAAAATGTCAAACAGAACAATCAACATTTTTCTAATCCTCTTTAAACTCACTTTTTTTTTTTAGATATGCAGTACCTTAGACTGGAGTTGGCCCCTATACTTGGAGTGGTGATTTCGGGCTTTCTGCGGACCTTACGAGACCCGGGGGGTGAGGCATCCTTGCTATCTGTTGAGGGATTTCGGTTCAGTTTCTTGGCCCCTGCGGAGTTCAGCTGCTTTGTTCTCTTTAATTTCTTTTCAAACTTTTCTTGAGATCTGCAAAATCAGAAAGCAAGAATGGTTCACAACAATATTTTCGTGATTCAGTTCCCTCTCACTCATCTAATAACTATTCCATTTGTTTAGAGGGATATCGCAGATAATGCTGTCCATTCTGCATTCGAAATTTACCTCCTTAAACTGGAGAGCAAATAATGGACTTCATAAAGAAGACCTCATTCCTTTTTTTTTACCTTGTTTTCATTCTAGTCATGGGCATTTTTTATATATTTTTTTCACAATCAACACACTTTCACAAGTCAGTCACCTTTCACTACTTTTACATTTAAGGCAAAAAAAAAATTATAGTTTTGCACTATAAATATTTTCTCTTCTAAATAAGTGCAGTGACTGTGTAGGAAACTAAAGAGTTTTTAATTTAAATATTTTTTTCCATCTATAAAAGTATCTGAAAAAAAATCTGAAATATAACTACCTTGACCTTCTTGCCGTTTGATCGATTTCATTATCACTCTGTGAGGCAGTTTTCCCCATAGTTGAGATCTTTTGAGCTGCACCTGTTATAAAACTGTCTAATGATCCTGTAAAACTGCCACTTAACGCTTCACCGCCCAAGCCACTAGAGGATGAAAACATTGGTCCTGGTTCACTTGGTAATCTAAGATCTGTACTCTGTACTGAAGACAAGCTCCCGGATGACACAGATCGATGGAGAATGATTCTGTCATTTTGGGGGGTTTGACAAACTAAAATAAATTCATATTTTGATATCAATTTTTTTTTTCTCATTAAAAAGGAGCAATACAATTACCAGGATATACATCTTAAGAGTAAAACATTTTAAATTAAACTGTCTGTCTGATAAAAAGAAACAAATCAACCTTAAAGCTTTTTCTCTAAGTCCTCTTTCGACAGTAAAATCACTGAATGCACCAAATTAATGTAGTTTTTGCATTAAGAAACTTCCTAACTTATCAGAAAATAAAGAGATATTAAACTATGGTAGGTGACACTTTCTAACATCGAAGACATATTTTTTTTTAAAATATGCTATTCCCATGAAGTAAGAAAAAATGATATGAAAAGAAATTCTAGTCATGAAAAAAACTATATTCTGTAATAGTCAATATCTTCCCCCAAATCAAACTTTCATGGAGAAATCTTTAAATATGTTCTAAACATGTGGAAATATTTGCGAACTTTTAAGCATTAAATTTCATCAAACTAGTTAGAGATGATGTCAAGAAAATAATACAAATTTAGTTTTGGGTTTGTTTTTTTCATGATTATTGGAGTGTAAGGATGATAATATCAATGAAATATGTGATTATAGTACTTGAGCAAGTTTGTGCTTTGAACTTTTGTCAAAATTGAACAAACTTTGTGCATTTTGTCCTCATTTTAGAAATAATGGTAAATTCCCAAAAAATTGGCAACTGAGAAAAAGCCATCCCAATTACTTGTCTCCTATCCACAATATGTTTTTAGTTAAGATTTTTTAAACAGTATAAACAACTGTGCACATATTAAATGATTTTTCCAAAATTATTATAATGGGGGCAGGAATATGCTATTAAATGAATACAGTTTTTTTTCCCCTGAGGTCCTCTAAGAAGCTAGATAAACAATTCAAAAAAAATTTTTTTTCGTAACATACTTGGGAATGCTCTGTTCTCAATTTCCTCTTCCTGATTGGGCGATTCTGTTGGGCTGATTGTCGATGTCTCGGACATGGTAGAGGTCCCTATCCCACTGCTAGCATTAGACAAGGGGGGAGTGGAGGGGTGTTTGTCCTTCTCGATCCCCTGCAGCAGGTGCCCCATCGTGTTGTAACCCTCCTTTGTTTCTGCTTTATTCCCTCTCTGTATCGACAAGAAATTAACATGACTAGTAAATAACTTAAATCAAATTAATTCTATTATTTGTTGAGTATTGCAATATCAATACTATGATGTTTAAGTAACAATTATGTTTTAATCAAGGTTTGACCAAAATATACCTGGTACTTTAAGTTAACAGCAATTCTTCTACAATTCAATTAAAACTTGTTCCAAGCATAATCCTGTTTTTATGCTGGTATATGTACACGTATATCTTATTAATAATAAAATTTTAGGACATTTTTTTAAAATATATATATAGTTTCTTGAAGTGCCTTTCCTTTCTTTGTTGAATGTCTTGACATCCTGCTTTAACACGAATATCTGATGACACTATGCTAGATTTATCTCCCTTTTCAGGACTTGCATTGTCTGCAGGAATGGGCTTGAATGCAGGAATCTGTTTTATGTTTGCATCCCTCTTCTACAAGAGTTAATGAAAGAAAATTTAAGAGAAATCTACAGATATTTTCTATATGAGAAAAAAATCAGATATAGGGGTGTCAAATTTTATCCAAAAAAAAAATCATATTTTAATATTCAAGAGGAGTCTTCAAAGATATTCAAATATACAGTAAAATAAATTATATTCTGATTAATTTCAAATATGCACCATTCTACCCTTTTGACAGGTTTTGTGTCAAAATTTTAAAGGTAAAATTGGATATAGAGTTTTGTAAATATACAGTAAGGGATTCTACACATTTATAACATTTGTCAATGTTTTGAAATATTAAATTCTTTTTTTTTTTTCTTAAGTGAATACAACCAGAACATATAATTTTTAAAAAAATATTTTGAAGTTCTTAATGATGAATTGATTGTTTTTTGATACTATAAACAGATATCTCCAAACTTAACTACTTTCTTAATTAATTAATTCAATTAATTAATCTATAAGTGCACAAGAAATATTCACAAGTTCCTAAAGAAACTCCAGCTCATGGATATTTATGATCAGAAAACAGCTAAAGAGTTAAGACTTTGTAAAAGGCTTATGAAACAGGAATCCTCCACTGTGAAAATTGTTGTGAATTTGTTCACATTTAGCCCTTTATAAATACAAATGTAGTTGATTTAGACTTTAGAGCATCTTTAGCAACAATGAGGTTTATGGTAATGCAGAAAAAGGAAATGACAATTACTAATCAAAATAGATGCAAAGGATTAACAATATAATTTTACATTTTGTTCATAGGCAGATGCAAATATTGAGTTCCAATATGAAATTAAAGAATTAAAATCACATCACTTTTTTTGCTAACAAGAAGGAAACTCTAACTATTATGCCTATTTCTTCATTAAAACGCCCCTCACCAGTTTTTTGTAATGGTGGACACAGTACCCACAATACTTCACATTGTCGCCATAGTTACCAGCCTCCTCACATAAAAGTCCTTGTGCCTGAGCACTACAAAACAAAAGAACAACATAAGATATCCTTAATAAAAGCTTTAAAAAGCAGCGCTGTGGTTAACAGTTGAAACCTTCAGCCCAATCGGGGTCATGTTGGCCCCTAACTCTTAAAAGTTTATGGGTCACATTATATATCAATATAAAAAAATGAATAAAAGATGTTCCTTGATTTTTTTTTAATTGTTGATTTTTTTATAGTCATCAATATGTTTTCAGTGTTTTAAACTTTCAACTCCTGTTGGAGTGTCTGACAACCAAAGCCAAACTGTTACATTTCTGTTAGAACAATCTCGAATGTTTGCTAATGTATTCATCAAAGAATTTTTTTCTAAGCCCTTTTTTATAAATCACCACATCCTCTTTATCACATGAAATGAGGTACGAATTAGCTGAGGTGTGCCAAGTGGCTACATAAATAATCTTGAGTTAGTAGAATGTTTTACTAAAACTGAAACTACATACATCTGACCTTTGGTATCTATAACATTGACAAAGATCTCTATAGATATGTAAAAGTGATTTGGAAGTACTTCTTCTCTGAGTATTAAACACTCAATATCTCAAAATCCCAGATATCTCGAATTTTTTTGCTCGATCCCATCAAGTTCAAGATAACAAGTTGACTGTATTAGTTTTAAAAATAAAACTGAAATTTTATATGATTATGTTCCAGGAAAAAAATAATGTTCACAGTAAGGGTGACCAAGTTTTCAATATCTAATCATCCAAAGCAAATTTTACTTGCACTGGCAAATAAAATAACCTAAACCCTGAAAAGAAATGCCATCTTGCAAAAAAAAAATTAAAACTTACTTCTGGCATGAATCTTACTGAATTGTAATTTGTTGAAGATTTGAAACATCTCTAGTTGTGACAAACTTTACCTTGACTATGACAATAATGACAAAATAACAGCAGTTGTTCAACAACAAAACCTACCACGTGACATGGAAATTCATCTTGCAGCCATTCCTGTTACACTGCATGCAGGCTCCAGAGTTAGCTTTATCTACCCGACCACTTTCTTCACATATATAACAAACCTGTAAAGATCACATAGGTAAGCAAAGCTATGGTTACTTTACATTAAAATATATCATATATCCAACTATATTTTCTTTCATTTTTGGGAGAAATGACTATTGGGAAAATTAACACATTCAATTTTTGAGAAAAAAGGTACCTTTTTGATTTGGGAATGGGGCCCTTGAACATCCCCAATTATAGACAATTGAGAGCCCTGGTATGTATATCTATTTCTAGAGAATTTTGCTCCTTGCTTGTGAAAAGCAGGATAATTCAAATTAGATATGTTTCAATATATGCAAATGTGTATCTACATTGTTGTTTTCAGAAATTTAATTTTTTTGCTTGAATTATTTCAAAATGAAATTGAAAGATTTTCAAATAAAAACTTACAGCAGAAATGAACAAGGCAAGCAAACACTTATTTGGTGAGTGTGTGTGTTGGAGGGGGGGATATTGATGTGCATATTCTGTTGTTTTTTTTTTTGCTGAATCATTGGAGTTCCTCATAAGTCCAGGGATTTATCAGCCTATTTTGGGAAACGCCATTTTTAGGGAATTGGGAAAAAATTATCAGCTTTTTGATGAAATTGGGAAAAATAAAAATCTTGCTAACATCATGTATTCAGGTGTAATTCATTTAACATTTTAGCATGAACTCTCATTTGGGCAACCAAACAGACAATTAAATTTGATCCAACTTCATCATACATGATCAATTATGATAATGAATAATAGACTAATGAAACTAAATTTGATTTCAATGGGTATAAAGTATATTAAAGTATTTATACAACTAAGGGTAATACATGTATGTATGAGATTCTAATTGAGGTCATTATAGAATCTGTTTCTGGAGATTATTAACCTCCTGCAAAAAATTATACTAAGTACACATTTTCTCAAAGTCCTCTTTTAATATGTAAAAATGCACTGAAAATATATTTTTCCATCTGAAATATACGCCTACAGTTCTTACCATTCACTCATAGATCAATTGAGTATGTAGATATAACTTAATAAATCTATATTATTAAACAATATCATCATTTTCAGAAAAAAGGAGGAAATTCGGATTAAAAGTCGGCGATGTTTACTAACAGTTTTTTCAACATCTTATGACCTTTGCTGCTAAATGAGATAAATATATGAAAATTACAGACAAACTGACAATTTCACTGAGTTTTTTCCAAGATAATTAAATATCAAAGCATTGTTCACCAATTGGGAAAAAATACTGCCAAATTGGGAAAAATTGAACTCTTTTTCAATTAGGAATGGGGCCAAATTTCGGCCCCTGAGAAGGTACTGATAAATTCCTGATAACAAACCACAATAACTAGGACAGAGACAGGGAACAAATTGGCTTACTTTATTAAATCTTTCAGGAGGAACATTTTTTAAAACAATAGGCTCCATGGTCTGAACATTTGCGAACCAAGCCTCTGGTATGAATAAAGCACACACCACGTGACACCAAGCAACTGAAATCAGACAATAAAATCTACATAAAATGTTACAGCATGGATTAACCTGACATCATCTACAACAAAGTGGTAGAGTGTCTCATTCAAAGAATGCTTCTTTACAATGAAAATCTTTAATAATACTTAAAATTTACATTTAGATTCTACTATTTCTACACCTTTTTGTAATCAAATTATTAAATAATTCAAGGAAATTAGAAATTCAAAATTTGCATTAAATTCAAGATGATAAGGAGAATTTAAAATTAGTCTTGATCCACAATTAACTTGATAAACATCACAAGTCAGCTCATTGTAAATATTAGTGTATTTGTATCACTAGCCACCAATAACATACCTCCTGTGTCAGTTCGTTTTAGTGCACCATCCTTTTGGGGACACAGCTCACATTTCTATGGGGGAAAAAAGAATATGAAATTATCCTGCTTTAGCAATAATTTAATATTAAAACTACATTCAAGGACCTATCTACTAATGGGATAGGCAACTCCTTCAAAGCCATGTTTATTTGCCCACAAAGTCACACACAACACTAAAATTTTTTCAAACTAAGTTTATTCCCAGTAGAAAGTTTGTTTTCGGATAAATGTAATCTGTTTTGTTTATTGGAATGGAGTTTTAATAAATCTTAAAGTATACATTTTAAAATAATTTAAATATAAAGCAAACAACAACCCAATTCACCAAATTCTTGGAAATAGGCTGATCAGCGCATGTGTTGATTTTGAATATACAATGAAACTATTCTAGGATAAGGAGTATAAACATTGCTAACTACAAATCTTGAATAATTTTTTAGACAGATAAATAAAGGTTTTTTCAGAAATATTTCATGGCATTAGAGATATATTAATTTAAAATTGACTAAAGAAATCTGCAACTTATGAGATATCGCGAAACTTGCAAAAGTTGCCTGTCCCATTAGGCCTAGCATTTACATCCCTGCTACATTTAATATGTTTTTTTAATTCCAGGAACATGTAAGATTTCATGAAAAATTAAGCTGTCAGTGGAATTTTATTGCAAATCAACAAATAACTGAAACTTGTTATGTTCCATCTTACTATTATGGGACACACCCCCATGACAATGAATTTGAGGTAACGGGACGTTTCGCCCCATTTATGTTTCGCGCCGAGACCATTCGCCCTAGAAGACCTTCTTTTGACTTTATTAAAAATGTTCTAAAGTTACTAAAAAACGTTCATGTTTAAATTGTTGAAAATAGGCTTATACCATAATTAAAATGTATCATTATCCATGTGCAGATATAATTATGTTTATTCAGCAATCATAATTGTCTGAGTCAGTTTTGTAAGTAAGGTGTTATAACTATAATTTGGAGACTAACCATGTCAAGATAAAGAGGAGAATTAAATTATGAGATGGGTGTCAAGTTTATTTTACCGTTGCTCAATAGGATGCACACTGACTCCAATTTTCTTTGCGATTTTGAGTTAACACCGTTCATCGAACTCAAATATCGATGCACTAAATTATGAATCCTAATGTGGTTTACTTGTATGTCAAGTTATATTGAAATCAGACCAAAACTGTAGCAGGAGAAGTTTTTTGAAGTAATTTCACAGGAATTTCTATTTTTAGTAACCATGGCAACATAGTTCATTGAAATCAAAAACCAATGCACCAAATTTTGTTTCTCAGTGTAGTCTACTAGTGTGCCAAGTTATATTGAAATCAGATCAAAACTTTAGGAGGAGTAGCGTTTTAAAGAAATTGTTTACAGACAGACAAACGGATAGACAGACGGACGCCGGACACCTTACTATCGCCTAAGCTCTTCTGGTCTCTGACCAGTAGAGCTTAAAATATCAGGTCATTTAAAAATATCTTTTTTTAAGTATCAGTAATTTATTTAAAAAAATCAGGTCTGAAAATTTCTTTTTTTTAAACTTTAGTATGATTATGGGCTGGGGGGATATAAAGCATGATATAGAGCTAGATTCTCAGTTTTTTTTAATTCTCTACAACTGTATTTTGGTATGCATCATCTATTAATATTTCCCCCATAGAGGCAAAATTATCTCAATCAGCCGGTCTACAGAGTGTCAAGTCTTTAGTATATCCCATATAAATTGGTTTTATTGATTGAACCAATGGATTGGATTAATATAACACAGTACAAAAGTATTATTAAGAAGTTAGTAATTGCTGTTAACAAGTGATAATTACCACGTAATTTATTAATTGATCTTCGGCGCGAACCGTCTTGGGGCGAAACGTCTCAGCGCGAATGGTCTTTTGGGGCGAACCGTCCCGCACTCTGAATTTGATATTTGGTTAATAAATTTTAAGAAATATCGATAGGTTATGCCCAAGACTATGAACAATCTTTTTTTTAAAATACAGCTTATTAAATATGTAACACATCTATTCATTTCATTTGGGACTTATCAACTTACGTGTAGCAAGTATATAAGTACCTCATTTTGCAACAAATTGCAGTATCAAAGCCTAAAGGCTAAACCCACCCCCAGAAAATAATATTGCAAAAACACAATAGGCCTTTACACATTGCAACCTACAGATCAAATGTAATTTAAACTTCATATAAACGGCATAAACTCTTACTCAGACAACCTTGCTTTCCAATAAAAAGTGAACATTCAACTTCTTACAACAAATAAAGTTATTGCGCTTCAGCCTTGATGTACACAGAAAAACGTGCATCCGGTCAAATTCAAAATGGCCGCGAAACTTACAACTCGAGCAGTTCGTTCCTGTGATTCGCACTTTCTGCAATACCAAGGCCCCTTTGGTACATGTACAATTCCGTAACAAGCTGTAAAACAAAAAAGGCATAAATTTTGAATTACAACAATATTTCAACACAATTCAATCGTGATCTCAATGTTTATAATATAATTTACAAATCGTTATTGCAACCCCCCGAACCTTGGTGAACTGCTACATTGCAGCCCTGACCGTCACAATATACAAGGGGGTTCTCCGCCCAACCTCTCTCATCTGAACAAACACAGCAACCTCCTACCATCTCCTTCATCGTGATCAGATTCAAGGAATTAACCCTTGAAAACGAAAGCAAATCATTGTTTTGCCGACATATTTCATTTCCCCATGTTCCGACAGAAAGGTCATAGCGCATGCGTTATGAAAATAAACAAGGACTTCATCAAAGTACTGAAAGTATAGGTAGATCACTTGACACATTAGCTGTTTAGCAGTTTAGGTTTAAACTTTAACAGTGAATACAACTAGAAGATTTTTTTAGCGAAGTTAAATGTTATTTATTATTCAAAATAAAATGTTATTTATTATTCAAAAAAGTTATTAATAAATGTTATTTATACCCCCCTCAAAAAAAAAGGAAATTGTAATGATTATCGTTAATTGTTCCTTACTATTTTTTTTTTTTTCAAATCGAGACACTGATCGAGTGATCTGATATCCTCTTTAGCATGTGTATGGAACATTGCTGAGTAATTTTCGATGAATCAATTACTCAACAATGTTCCATATACATGCTTAAGAGGATGTCAGATTATTGTCTTGATTTGGAAAAAAAAATAGTTTAGTCTGATTTTACATATGACTGTTAGACTACATATAAAGATACCTGCCGTGTATAAGAAAAAAATACACTGTATTTATTCTTTGGATATATAGGCTACAGTTCAAATAATAAGATAAAGGAACTGAAATTTAAAACATTGTACTAGAAAAAAAAACTTTACAAAGAAAAATTACACGATGGCATTTAGGAACTTTAACACTGCATGCGAACTCCATATCCGTGCGTTAAGTTTAGGTAGACCTAACGCAAATCAATCAAATACTGTGTCATTGCGATCATTTGATCTATATTTTTCATTTATAGTTTAATTAAAAGTTTACATAAATCATATATTTTAATTTATACATTACGTATTGATACCTGTAAAATATGTATTTAGCAAACTCAAAACAACTATTCATGAGACTTAGCATTATAGATATCTGGTTTTATGTTACAATCGTGCAGCGCATTAAACACTTGAAAAAGTAAATTGTTGTGACATACGCGGCGTGTTTTCCTCTCTTAAAGCTACGAAAGCTATTTTCAGAAACATATTCTTAATGACATTTCATAGTCACAGTTTACGCAAGAAGTAATACAAAACTTAAACTATTAAAAATACAGATGGGCATCAAACTTGCATTGAGACAGCAAAAGTTGACTTAAAAATAGTTACATTAAAATTTAAAAGTTATCATAAACAATAAGTAACCATAAAGTTTTATTAAAAAAAAATAATGAGCAAAAACATCAAGTTATTTTAAAAAAGTTATCCTTATACTAAAATTCCTTGGCTATAAGGGAGTTTATTGTATTTGTCAAACTTGAGATACATTCAATCATCATTTTGTGAAAACGTGTACGTATGCATTATTAAGTAAAAAATAGTCATCAATGTAGGGCAACTCTGATATTTTCACGTATAATTGCAATAATCCCTGACCTTCTCTACCATATTGTATCTATCTACAATATATGAACAAATAAATTCAAGTGCATCTAGGTGGTTTTCATATTAAGGCCATTTTCAAGGTTTCCATATTAAGGCCATTTTCAAGATTTCTAAGTATAGCGTCTTATAAAGTGAGAAAATAGTGTATAGATTTACAATTTTTCAACATTTTCTTAATATTATAAGACTTTGACATTTGCATCATTTACAACCAAAATAAATCAAAAAATATTATACCAGTCCATACATCCAATTTTTTGTTTGTAGAAAATGTCATAGCTTGGAGAATAAAAATAGAAACATATTTGACTTACCAAAATAATGAATTAATAAAGATCAGTTTATTGCAAATTTGCTAACACATTTATAATATTCCATTAGTTTTTCTGGTAAAATTATGAAATAACTATTTTCCCCCACTTTTTAGTGCAAAAGAAAACGTTTACAGTTATCTCTCTTGTCAAGATAAGCTGTGTTCATATTTCTAACAAAGCAGTAAAGTTTTTTGCTTGTAGATTTCAGTTTCTACAGACAATGAAATAAATTGCACAGAAGATCTGAGTCTTGAAATAAGATGTCAATTTAAAGCTGTAAGTTACAAAACCTTACAATTTACTACTCTTTAATTGCATCTAATGGTTAATTAACATCTGATTAACATTTCTTAGTCAGTTTGTTGGGTTAAATTATGTGTGCATAAATACATACAGTATTCGAAAAAAAAAAATTAAAAATACAGAAGCATATATAAAAATTGATGATTCTTTCTAAGGAGGAAATTCTTCAAAACCATGTCAGTTTTAAATATTTTTAATATTCCCAACAACCAATTTTAATATATATGAGTTACCATACCTATACTGGATTCCTATAAAACTTAAAAGTCTTACAAAGATACATAAAGAATTCTAGAAAATGTCCCACCATGCCTATTTCTTTACTCCTTACACATGCATTAACAGCAATGGAGAAACTTCAGGAGTATTGTACAATAACATATTCGAGAAGTGGTTTTATAATCAGATGTGGATACTTTAAAAACTCCAGGAACTTTTAGAAAATTTGAAATCACAAAATTTTTGCCAAAATCAATAGTACCAAAACGCACAACTTTTCAACACTTTATACAATCATTTCCCCGATTTATTAAAGATCAGGCTTTTTGAAACCATAAACAGCTGTTTTTTTCCACAAAAACAGAAGTCGTAATTCTACATACCTGGCCAATGGTCATCTGCAAACTTATATTGTTAAAACGTTCGATTCTATACACAAGTAATCCGAAGTTGATAAGAAAAAGACGTATGAGTTTCTGATTGACGATATATCTATATAGCTTTAGGAGACCAGGTCTTCCAACAAACTTTTGGAATTCCAATGGGTGATAATTGTGCCTCGTTATTAGGAGACCTATTTCTGTATTTATATGAAGCAGAATTTATTTAAAAAACTGCAACATGAACAGAAGAAGTCTCTTTCTGTGGCCTTTAATTCGATATTTAGAAATACCGTTGGCGTTTTATCACTTACAGGTAACAGTATTCATTTTCACTTCTACGTTGATTAACATTTTGATATATCCTTTTGAACGCGAAATATAAGACACCACAGTGTCTGGCAGACCTGTAACCAATATTTGGATATTTTCCTAGAGAAAGACATTGATATCCAACTAACAACTAAATTTTATGATAAATGTGGTGACTTCAACTTTTCTATCGTCAACTTCTTATTTTTGTAGCAATATACCAAGTATACGGAGTTTTTATCTGCAGATTGATTCGATACGCAAGAACATGTTTTTCCTATGTTTTTCTTAAAAAAGGGGCAATCTATTGACAAATAAGTGATGATACAGGGATATCAACAGTCTCATTTGAAATCAACATTTTGCAAATTCTATATTCGATACTATGATTTGTTACCAAATACAGACTATCGTTAGGCTGAGTGATCACCGACATCTTTCATACAAATTGTTAGGCCTTTATTTTCACACTAAATTATCTACAAATTTTCCGTTTACTGATCATGACAAAAACTATAATCATTGTGAACAGATTAAATATTATTATACTTTTTTTGTTTTGTTTTGGTTTTTGTTTTTGTTTGGGGGAGGGGGGTTGTTTGTTTGTTTGTTTGTTTGTTTGTTTGTTTGTTTTTTTGTTGTTTTTTTTTGTTTGTTTGTTTGTTGTTGTTTTTTTTTTGCATCTTGAATTGCACAAAACACTTGATTGAACACATTTTGCTTGAGTTTATTTTGCATCCATTTTTACAAGTACATTTATTGAACCATTGTCAATAATGAATTGATTGGTCAATTTTTTTTCCTTTTTCAATAATTCTTGATTTCAATAATTCTTTGTGATAAACTGATTTCTAAAAAAAATACAAGAAATACATGTAGTTCTTAGTTTGTATTTCCCTACATTCTCTTCCAAAATATAGCACAGAAATTTTTTATGCCCCCGGATCGAAAGATCCCGGGGGTATATTGTTTTTGTCCTGTCTGTCTGTTTGTCTGTTTATCTGTTTGTCTGTTTATCAGTTTGTCTGTTTGTCTGTCTGTCTGTTGTCAACTTTAACCTTGCCCATAACTTTTGATTGGTTGGAGCTAAGATTTTCATATTTCACATGTGTATTTCTTGTGACAAGACCTTTCTTTTGGTATCGTCATATTTGACCTTGATCTTGGAGTTTGACCCACTTTTGCAAAATTTTATGAGACTTTGACCTTGGCCATAACTTCTGAATAGTTGGTGCTTGGGGGTTCATACTTCACATGTGTATTCCTTGTGACAAGGCCTTCCTTTGGATACCAACAACTTTGACCTTTTGACCTTGACCTTGGAGTTTGACCTACTTTTGAAAAACTCTAACCTTGGCCATAACTTTTGAACAGTTGGTACTTGGGGTTTCAAACTTCACATGTGTATTCCTTGTGACAAGACCTTCCTCTGGATTTCAACCTCTTTGACCCTTTGACCTTGACCTAGGAGTTTGACATGCTTTTGAAAAACTCTAACCTTGGCCATAACTTTTGAATGGTTGGAGCTAGGGCTTTCATACTTCACGTGTGTAATTCTTGTGACAAGACCTTCCTCTGGATGCCAACAACTTTGACCTTGACGTTTTACTTACTTTTAAAAAACTTTAACCTTTGCCATAACTTTTGAACAGTTGCAGTTAGGGCTTTCAAATTTCACAGGTATACTCCTCGAGACAAGACCTTTCTTTGGGTACCAACATTTTTTTATCTTTTGGCCTGGATTTTGACTTGCATTTGAGAAACTTTGACCTTCGCCATAAGCTGCCATACGGGGGCATCAGTGTTTCACAAACACATCTTGTTGATACTTTCCTCTGTCATTATTTGATATTTGGACTAAGTTATTGTATCCAACCCTGACATATATGAAGATACAGTTGCTTGTGATAACCGGTACCATATTTTTTATCTTACTCTTTTCATCATTCTATCACTCTGGTGCCTGTCCATTCTGATGTCATTAGTTCAGATGCAAAAGGTACATTTGAGATCATATGAGTCAAAATATAATCTGATCTTACTCATAAAACATTTTTTTTCACATGACCGAAAGTGGTCCACCATCAACTCTTGTTG